GGTGACTAATGCGGTATTGAGCACAGCACACTTACATTGTTGTTCTGTTGAAAGTGTGGTGTGGGAAAGTTGGGACACCACAGCCTACAGGATTAGTCTTTGAATAGAGGAGCATCTGGCTTCTGTGCGCGGGAAACCTCTGTCAGCTGGGTGAGTTCTACAAGACATGTTTCCTCTCTAGTTCTAGTTAGAGGGCATCAGTCCAATTGTGCAACAGTTGTGACATATTTGAATTTCAATGCAATTATCATTGTTCACATCTTCAAAATTCCCAAGATAATAAAAAGTTGCCCATTTCAATGGGAAAAGTTGCAGCAACATTATGGGCCTATAGGATAATGAAAACAACCTGCTGAATCAGAAGTGTGTCTACTCCAAAAAAATAGTTGGTTTCTGCTGGATCTTCTTAGATAATCCATAAAAATGAAATGGACAGCACTCCAAAGGTTCAATTTCAATGTCTTTCAATTTTTTTAATTTTTTCTATTTTGTGATGTTTATACCACATGAGATGCCATATAAATGGTGGTCTATTTTAAATTACCTATTAGCTATAATAGTGCACTCATGGCCATGGGCACTGTCTTATGTTACTTGGACTTATAATTACAGATGGTGAACTGTCTAATTTCTTGGTCTATGTTATCTGTAATGATGTCACTTAACCAGTGGCGATTTTAGCATGTCAATCTTGGTGGGGCAACAAAATTATAATTGTGGGACCATGCCAGCAAAGCCACTACACAACACAACACTAAACAATACATTAATTGCACTATAACGGTGACAAACGGTGCCCACAAACTGTTAGGGCCTACATAAAGCTGTCCCAACAGCAGAGTCCCAACAGCAGTACCAACACCTTACCACTGCTACACCTGGCTATCAGCGAAACAGTTCATTCAGCCTCATTTACTGCCTTTTAAAAAAACATAGCTGATATGGCTGACTTGCTTAAACAAATGTGGTTGCTACTGACAATTGAGATGTACAAACTATGGCATAAGGGGACGACAAGCGGATAAGGGGCAATCCGTAATTTCAATTAAGACATGAATGAACGAGCTAGGACAGACGTAGTCAATATAACTATTCGTTCTGCACTTTTGAAATGTAAAGCGACAGAATTCAGAACATGGGAAGTTCTTACAGTGTTCTACCTGTACACCAAGTCAGAACCGTAGGATAAATAAAGGGGGCACATAAACAGACAATGAAATCTCTTACAATATTCAATGGTTACATTTCTCAAAAACAGGTTATAGGCTACATGTGCACCCGAGTCAGAACAGTAGGCGAAATTAAGAGGTGAAATAGACCAAATTATTAGGGTCAGGCACATGGGCTACTAACAGCTTACTACACAACATACACTTAATATCACTTTCTTAGCCACAGTATACATATCTCCCTGGCATATTACATAATTTATGCAGCAGCATATAAGACATTTTTGGACTCACCTTGTTGTGATGTGCTCACTTGAACAGGAAGGTGGCGCAGCGGTCCTTCATGGGCAAATTTTGTCATCAAAGACAGAGAAAGAGGCCGGATTTACAATTCCGAGTTGGATGAAAGTTCAAAACGTATTTTCCCAGTCTGAGCTCGTTTATTCCCGACTTCCCAGTTGCAATGCTTGCAGTTAGCCACTGTCACCGATTCCTTCCAAACCACTCATTGTTGAATTTGCGATTTCCAACTTGTTGTGTAATGTTATTTAGCACCGATACATTTTATCTATAATTTATCTTCATTATTTATCTTCATATGACAAGGATTAAAAAGGATTTGCCAGTAGATTGTCGACTTGATTCATGATGATGACTGCTAGCTAAGATTTTGAAAGTAAGACGTTGACATGATCAGTCCAATCAAAGCTACTGTACATATAATGTGATTTGACGTCATTTTATCTGTGGCCAATGACCTTGAGCCTTCTTGGAAGGGCACTTCTAATGTAACTCTATGGCAGGACCCAAAGGGCTGGAATCTTCGATGTCTACCCTTACTAAGGACTTTGACTTGGAGGTGACGTAGTGTCCCCATGAGTGACAGAACACTGAGCCAATCACGGCGCAACACTCCTATTTTCTGCTGGCTTGCCCCACCATCACAGAAAGCACTGAGCTAGGCTGAAACACCTGCATTTTGGAGCTGCCTTACTCAAGAAAACAAAAAAGAGACCATGTTTGTATGCAGCTTTATTAACTCAATTATATATATTTTTTACATTGTTGACAACAACTGATATGTGACACGTATTAATGCCAAAATAACATGCAAAACAGGAATGGGGCTCTTCCCCACCTGCCCTGAATGACGGGTCGTCACTGCACTTAACATGTTACAGTAAAAACAGCTATTTTTGTTGATTCATGCTGTTTCTGTAAATTTTTTAACTTAAAGATTATTGGAGATATTTGTGAGATTGTCTTAACCAACCTTGCATCTCCCCCATGTACCCCTCTCTCTATCCCGCCAAACTGTGCCATGTAAAAGGGCACAATGCATTCCTGACTGTTGTGCTGAACCAGGCTTTGCCTCTGGGTGCCCCTGCAAGGGCACCACTCTCTCACAAAGAGAGGGGCAGGTGCTTGGTATCACGTGCCTCATCAAGTAGGGTATCCTTGAGACATGAGCCACACAGGGACCTGGGAAATGCCTGACCTCTCTTTAGACCTGATAAATACCCCTTAATGTGGGCCCCGTTCTATGGCATCCCATGGACATGTGACCTGAAGCGGGAAATTGTGGCATTGTCAAATGTATGCCTTCTGTTTTACTCAGGGCCCTTTCAGTACAGTCACTGGGTCAGTGTGTTGGTGGTCAGTTTTAAGAGGTATTCACACATACAAAAACAATAAATATATTATTCTTGCTCTGCAGTATACTGCATCAAGTTTTTTCCATTAACTTGATCCGGAGGAGGTTCAATATTTTTTAGGTATCATTGGATTGTGTATTTACTGTATGTCCATGTCTTTATTCCATTATTAGACAATAACACAAATATAACATGTATTTAGCTTTATATCATAATAGCAGCCTCAAGTCTTATTAGTTGCATTCCAGTATGATATACCTGTGACTTCCTCTAGGTGTGTGGAGTGTGTGAGAGGCCTGGGCTCACCCAGCAGAGTTCCAGATGGCCTATTGAGTTCCAGGCATAATGAGGGGTGATGGATCAGTGGCGGTTGTGGCAGGGTGGGGCACAGCCGTGAATGGGGGCTTAAGTGTGGGAAAGAGGAGCAGGTCGGAGCTCTCACACATTCCTCATTGGAGAGAGGGAGAGGGCATTTGGCTGCACACAGACACTGGGACATCTGGGCTCAAATCTATGGAGCCTGTTTGGTTTGTGTGTGTGTGTGTGTCCATGCACGTGGGCGAGAGTGTGTGTGTGGAGGGGCTCATAATGAGGCCATCACTTTTCTTCCTGAATAGATGGAATGTCCACATTGGAATGTGTTCATACTCAAATAATGTGTTTTCATCTGCATAGTCATGACTCACTTCTTAGAAATATCTTTAAAGAGAGAAGAAAAGACAGACCAGAGATGATTTCCCTCCAAAAATACCCTTGCCATCTACCTCGTTCCACACATATTTGCATGTCTATTTATAAGGCACATAATGCATTGACAAATAACTCACTATTTTTGTCCATTTATTTTAGAGCAACCATTTGAATCAATGTTAAACATTTTAATGCAAGTGTCTATTAAGTTATTGAAGTATGTAGACATTTACCAATTCTATTGACTTATTCACGAGTGATAGGATAAACATTATTTAGTAATAGCCTCTGATGATAAGAGAGTGAAGTTCACTGTATTGTACTGTCAGTGGGAGCAGATGTTTGAGTGCAGGTTCCATTAATGAGAGGCCAGAGGAGATTAGAGGAGGAGAGATGTAATCAGTGGTAGGTAAGTGTGCACGCACACAGGCCCGGCCATGTGAACGAGGGCGGGGTGGGGGGAACACACGTGCCCCTTGGCTCAGCAGTGCCTCTGTTCTGGGCAGCAGGTTGAAAGGGTGTCTCTAGAGGGGGGCGAGGGGGTGGTGGATGGAGGGGAGGTGGGGTGTGCTCTATTGACTGAAGGAGGTGTGAGTAGGATCCTGTCCTGCTTTCCCACACTCTCTTTCACATTTATTACATATTCTGTGGGGGGATGAGTGAAGGGGGGAGAGGTGTCGAACAATGGAAGTGTGCCTTCCAAGAGGGCACTGGATAATTGTGTTTAATTGGCATCTACAATGTGAATGTTTATCTCTCTCTCTCTCTCTCTCTCTCTCTCTCTGTCTCTCTCCCTCTATCCCTGTGTACCTTTCTCATGCTTTCTGTACATGTGAAAGACAGAGAAGATGTAAATGGTATATAAGTTAGGGATGTAAGGGGAGAGAAATTATTTAATTGATAAAACAACAAAAAAATAAAATGTATGCACTCACTAACTGTAAGTCGCTCTGGATAAGAGTGTCTGCTAAATGACTAAAATGTAAATGTAAATATAGCACAATTACAGTGCTATCACAGTATTGCAGGACATTCAATTTGATTTATTTGAATTCATGTTGATTTTTAATTAACACTGTGTCTTCTGATTATATTCATTGTCTCCTTAATAGGTTAACATTAATTTCTGCAATGTGAAGTGTGCAATATCTATATGCCTTTAAGGTCCCTTATCAAGTCTGACTCAGTCCCCATCTGCAGAGGCCTGATAGGGAATGTTCCCAGGTAATAAAAGTGTAACGATCTGCTTGTGTTCAGTCTGTGCCTCTGATATCTGCAGCACCGTTCCCTCTGTTGAGGTCAGTAAACCATGAGATAATGGATGCCTCTCCCATTGTTGTGGCCTCCTCGCCCACTGGCCTCGGAGTGTGGGAAAACTAATCCAGCCTGGTACACATGGCTTTGTAATGCTAATGCCCTCCTATAAATAGGGGAGTGGGCTCCTCTTTCAGCTCACAACTCACTCGCCTTCCTCAGAGAAGCACACTCTCTCTCTTTCTCTCTCTCTCTAGAAGAATGGCTCCTACCTATACCAGAGACTCTGCCAACACAATGCTCTCTACTAAAGACAAACATAAAGTAAGTTTTGTTTATAACATATGTTTGTGTCATAGTTTACTATTGAATCCTTTTCTTCATGATTTGAACTTAAAGGACATAGAACTAACTGAATGCCCTCTTTTCTTCATCAGCTAAGGAAACCAGTTGTGGAGAAGATGCGTAGAGACCGCATCAACACCTGCATAGAGCAGCTCAAGACCCTGCTGGAGAGGGAGTTCCACAAACAGGACCCCAATGCCAAGCTGGAGAAGGCTGACATCCTGGAGATGACGGTGGGGTTCCTGAAGCAGCAACTGCAGCCTCAGAGCCCAGTCCGTCAGAGGGCTCACAGTGAGGGCCACTCCCAATGTTGGAGGGAGACACTACACTTCCTGTCTGCCAGCTCCATGAAGGACATGACGCTCCAGAACCTCCGGAGAGCTGGCCAGGACATCTGCCCCTCCTCTCCACTCTCCTCCCAACACCAAAACCACAGCCAAGACTCAGTGAAGCAGGCCATCACTGGCCACAAAACAGTCTGGAGGCCTTGGTAGAACCACCGCATAGACTCTCTATCTCACAAACTGGATGGGTGTTTACCTTATTTTTTGCTGTAGGAAATATATTTCCAAATGGTATATTGAAATGATATTATTTTCTTGTTATATATGAAAGGAACTCTACTGATGTGATTATTTGCTCTCAGAGAAGAAGCTGAAAAACATATTTGTATTAATTCATAATGAAGAATATGTTTGATATTTCACGTGTATGTTTACGTGTGTATGTATTTTGTGCTCACTTGATGCACCAATGTGTTCTTTAGTCCTTTCATTTTCTATGAAGATGATTTGTAAAGGTTATATCTTTACGTGTATGGTTGCTTAGCCAACTGAAATCTTGCTTTAACTCTATTGTATGTACTGTCCTATTAAAGGATATTTACAAATGCTTTGATATGCCTTTTGTAAAGGCTTTTTGGGACATTGTTGTTCCACCATAGGCACTGTTGTGCTGTGAAATGTATTGTTGACACTGTGTGGCTTTCATTCTCACTTGATAAAGTGAACAAACACCTAAAATGGATTCCAATAAATGTTTTGGAAAGTAGCCATACTATGTGTGTGTGTGTGTGTTTCTAAAGGAGCTGTAGTTAACCAGGGGATGATGGGACGTGTAGAAAAAATAATAAATCAAATCAAATCAAATTGTATTGGTCACATGCGCCGAATACAACAGGTGCAGACATTACAGTGAAATGCTTACTTACAGCCCTTAACCAACAGTGCATTTATTTTTAACAAAAAAAGTAAAAACAAAACAACAACAAAAAAAAAGTGTTGAGAGAAAAAAGAGCAGAAGTAAAATAAAGTGACAGTAGGGAGGCTGTATATACAGGGGGGTACCGTTGCAGAGTCAATGTGCGGGGGCACCGGCTAGTTGAGGTAGTTGAGGTAATGTGTACATGTGGGTAGAGTTAAAGTGACTATGCATAAATAATTAACAGAGTAGCAGCAGCGTAAAAAGGATGGGGTGGGGGGGCAGTGCAAATAGTCCGGGTAGCCATGATTAGCTGTTCAGGAGTCTTATGGCTTAGGGGTAGAAGCTGTTGAGAAGTCTTTTGGACCTAGACTTGGCACTCTGGTACCGCTTGCCGTGCGGTAGCAGAGAGAACATTCTATGACTAGGGTGGCTGGAGTCTTTGACAATTTTGAGGGCCTTCCTCTGACACCGCCTGGTATAGAGGTCCTGGATGGCAGGAAGCTTGGCCCCAGTGATGTACTGGGCCATACGCACTACCCTCTGTAGTGCCCTGCGGTCGGAGGCCAAGCAGTTGCCATACCAGGCGGTGATGCAACCAGTCAGGATGCTCTCGATGGTGCAGCTGTATAATTTTTTGAGGATCTGAGGACCCATGCCAAATCTTTTCAGTCTCCTGAGGGGGAATAGGCTTTGTCGTGCCCTCTTCACGACTGTCTTGGTGTGTTTGGACCATGATATTTCGTTGGTGATGTGGACACCAAGGAACTTGAAGCTCTCAACCTGTTCCACTACAGCCCCGTCGATGAGAATGGGGGCGTGCTCAGTCCTCTTTTTTTTTTTTCCTGTAGTCCACAATCATCTCCTTTGTCTTGGTCACGTTGAGGGAGAGGTTGTTGTCCTGGCACCACACGGCCAGGTCTCTGACCTCCTCCCTATTGGCTGTCTCATCGTTGTCGGTGATCAGGCCTACCACTGTTGTGTCGTCGGCAAACTTAATGATGGTGTTGGAGTCGTGCCTGGCCATGCAGTCATGGGTGAACAGAGAGTACAGGAGGGGACTGAGCACGCACCCCTGAGGGGCCCCCGTGTTGAGGATCAGTGTGGCAGATGTGTTGTTACCTACCCTTACCACCTGGGGGCGGCCCGTCAGGAAGTCCAGGATCCAGTTGCAGAGGGAGGTGTTTAGTCCCAGGATCCTTAGCTTAGTGATGAGCTTAGAGGGCACTATGGTGTTGAATGCTGAGCTGTAGTCAATGAATAGCATTCTCACGTAGGTGTTCCTCTTGTCCAGGTGGGAAAGGGCAGTGTGGAGTGCAATAGAGATTGCATCATCTGTGGATCTGTTGGGCCGGTATGCAAATTGGAGTGGGTCTAGGGTTTCTGGGATAATGCTGTTGATGTGAGCCATGACCAGCCTTTCAAAGAACTTCATGGCTACAGACGTCAGTGCTACGGGTCAGTAGTCATTTAGGCAGGTTATCTTAGAGTCCTTGGGCACGGGGACTATGGTGGTCTGCTTGAAACATGTTGGTATTACAGACTCAGTCAGGGACATGTTGAAAATGTCAGTGAAGACACTTGCCAGTTGGTCAGCACATGCTCGGAGTACACGTCCTGGTAATCCGTCTGGCCCTGCGGCCTTGTGAATGTTGACCTGCTTAAAAGTCTTACTCACATCGGCTACGGAGAGCGTGATCACATAGTCATCCGGAACAGCTGGTGCTCTCATGCATGCTTCAGTGTTGCTTGCCTCGAAGCGAGCATAGAAGTGGTTTAGCTCGTCTGGTAGGCTTGTGTCACTGGGCAGCTCGCGGCTGTGCTTCCCTTTGTAGTCTGTAATAGTTTTCAAGCCCTGCCCCATCCGACGAGCGTCAGAGCCAGTGTAGTACGATTCAATCTTAGTCCTGTATTGACTCTTTGCCTGTTTGATGGTTCGTCGGAGGTCATAGTGGGATTTCTTATAAGCGTCCGGGTTAGAGTCCCGTTCCTTGAAAGCGGCAGCTCTACCCTTTAGCTCAGTGCGGATGTTTCCTGTAATCCATGGCTTCTGGTTGGGGTATGTACGTACGGTCACTGTGGGGACGACATCATCGATGCACTTATTGATGAAGCCAGTGACTGATGTGGTGTACTCCTCAATGCTGTCTTAAGAATCCCGGAACATGTTCCAGTCTGTGCTAGCAAAACAGTCCTGTAGCTTAGCATCTGAGTCATCTGACCACTTTTTTATTAACTGAGTCACTGGTGCTTCCTGCTTTAGTTTTTGCTTATAAGCAGGAATCAGGAGGATAGAGTTATGGTCAGATTTGCCAAATGGAGGGCGAGGGAGAGCTTTGTATGCGTCTCTGTGTGTGGAGTAAAGGTGGTCTAGAGTTTTTTTTCCTCTGGTTGCACATTTAACATGCTGGTAGAAATTAGGTAGAACGGATTTAAGTTTCCCTGCATTAAAGTCCCCGGCCACTAGGAGCGCTGCATCTGGATGAGCGTTTTCCTGTTGATTTATGGCCTTGTACAACTCATTCAGTGCAATCTTAATGCCAGCATTGGTTTGTGGTGGTAAATAGACAGCTATGAAAAATATAGATGAAAACTCTCTTGGTAAATAGTGTGGTCTACAGCTTATCATAAGATACTCTACCTCAGGCGAGCAAAACCTCGAGACTTCCTTAGTATTTGATTTTGTGCACCAGCTGTTGTTTACAAATATACACAGACCGCCACCCCTTGTCTTACCGGAGTCAGCCGTTCTATCCTGCCGATGTAGCGTATAGCCCGCTAGCTGTATGAAATCCATGTCGTCGTTCAGCCACGACTCGGTGAAACATAAGATATTACAGTTTTTAATGTCCCGTTGGTAGGATAACCGTAATCTTAAGTCATCCAATTTATTTTCAAATGATTGAACGTTGGCTAATAGGATTGATGGAAGAGGCAGTTTACTCGCTCGTGTACAGGGTAGATGGAAAGTAACAATTTTATAAACCGAAGTGGATATGAACAAGGAACAACATATAACGCAAACAGGCAGATGTACTGATAGATACTGTAGTTAGAAGTGCAGGCATCTGGCAACATCACCACTTGAGGATGAATTATCATGTTTATTAGTGCAATGTGTCTACTCCTGGGCAGAGAAAAGCCTTCTGATTGATGAATAAATAAAGGAAGGGTGATATGTAAAAAAACACAACATATTAAGTAAATCACAGTCTAATAAAGTTGTAAGGTCACAATTACTGTAATGGAATTCCCTATCTAGCTGTTACATTGAAGTTCTTGGAGACTGCTGCATTGTATAGTTTATGTTGTGAGATCCACTTCTTTCTAATATAAATGTTGAAAATAGCTGCCTGCCCGAATATAATCTGGTGAGCTCACATCTCAACACCAACCTGGAAATCTTGCATAGTTTATCTTGACATTTACATGAAATAAATGTATTAAGTAGAGATCACATTGAAAGTGATGTACAGTCAATGGAATAATAAAGATAACTGAACAATAACATAAAAACTAGCATCATAACATGTTTATTAGTACATGCTGAGACGTGTTGGTGTTGGTGGTGGAACCACATGTCTTCAACAGGGTATATTGATAGTTTGCAGAGGTCAATAATCAATTATCAGGGAGTGGCTTAGTGTGTATACCACATGGTCTGCATCTGGTAGCATGGGTCTGGAGCTCACCCTGCTTTCCCACACTCCTCAACCAATAACAGCCCTGATTGGGACAATAGATAACATCAATGACTTTGTGTGTGAGTGTCAATGTGACTACGTGTGTGTGCGTACGTGGGTGTGTGCGTGCGTGCATGACAGAGAGTGAGAGAGAGACCATGCATGGGCTGTGGGTGGAGCAGCAGTCAGTGAGTTTAGAGGAGGAAGTGTGCCATGGTGTGTGTGTGTGTGTGTGTGTGTGTGTGTGTGTGTGTGTGTGTGTGTGTGTGTGTGTGTGTGTGTGTGTGTGTGTGTGTGTGTGTGTGTGTGTGTGTGTGTGTGTGTGTGAGGCAGTGTGTGAGACGGTGTGTGTTTGCTTAAGGTGTGTAGACTATCACCTGGGAGCAGACTTGCCCTCCAGACTGACACCTGCTTGTGTCAGGCAGATAAGATGGGTTTCCCACGGCACTACACAGCAAGGCATTGCTACAGGCACAGGCCCATCCTGTCATATAGATACTAACACTCATGTCTTCAAAGCAAAGGTTAACCCTCACAGCACTGTTGTGTCACTAAGTCAATAAATTCTCTAATCATAATATAAGTAAATTCAGACTTTATTTTGTACACACCATTAGATTAAAGAACAGATATAGAAATGCAATGGCACACAGGGTGGAGTATACTTTAACGAGAAATGTAATTTAAATGTAAATCCAAACTAGTTTGAATACTATCCAAATTTAAATACATGCCAGTTTTATACATTATTTATGAAATGTGTACAACCAATATTTGATTTTTCTTGCTAAGAAATACAGGGGGACTGTTAACGATATCACTTGTATTTAATAATAAGAAGGACATGACAATTAAATTAATTTGCTGTTTGTTTCTCCAGGGGGAGGGGAAGTGAGTGGAGGGGGGATCAGGATTCTCAGCATCATGCCTAGAGGATAATTTAGCGTGGCACACTTCCTTTGTCCCTGCGATGAAAGGGGAGAATGAAACAGGAGTGTGGGAAAGCCGAGGAGAGGTAGGACCCACACAGGAGAGACACGCCACATAGTCACACAGCCCAACAGGCAGTCAGGCAGAGGCCCGGCTCACCAGCTGTTTGATGAAACCAGAGCTGACAGAGCCGACTGCCCAACGTTAGCC